TTTGGAACCTCTTCTGTAGGTGTGGCCTGCTTTCCGGGTCCACTGGGGGAACCTTTTCTAACCGGTTCGGTAGATTTGACGAACCGGTTCTACCGAATAGTTGCGAACTGGTAGGAACCCACCTCTGCTCTGCAGTCTCAAAAACCACCTCTTTCCCCCATGGACGCCTTCAACCCCAACTGCCATTATTTAACTCTTGCTATCATTAAAAATATTTAAAACGGCTTCATTTTAGAGAGGAATAATGCCTAGAAACCCTCGATCCTTTTAAAAGGACGTTTTCCTGATAGAACAATTAATCAATAGGGAAAAAAATGCCTCCAGGATTGTGGAGTGCCGACAATGGAGGTTTTTAAGGAGATTGGACAACCATTTATCCAAAATGTTATAGAGTTGCCTGCTTGAGCAACTTGCCTGCTTGAGTTGGAACAGAAGACACCCCCCCCCAAGGCCCCTTCTAACTCTGTTATTCTGTTATTTAGTTCTGTTATTCTGATACATTTCACACTGTAGCTTCGTTGTTTGATTTGGGAACAACGTTTCTGCATATGATCACAAGCACCAGAGCAGGGGTGGGATTCAGCCGGTTCGGACCAGATCAGCTGAGAGTGAATCGGTTTGCTCCAACGATTAGGTGGAACCTCCCTCTTACCTGCCCTTGTGTTTTAGTTACCTATATCCTCTTAACTGATTAGCGCAGCAGAGTGGATTACCATGCCTCAGCTGTGTTACTCCCCAAGAAGTAACGTGGAAGGTAAGTTTTGGTAAAACCGCGCACGCGCGCAACACGCAATCACCAAACCGGTTGTTAAACCGTCAGGATCCCACCACTGCACCCGACGTTGTTCCTGAAAAGAAGCTTATGGTCCCACCTGTCTTCACCTTTAGCCCTCTGGGATTGCCTGGGATAGGTTCTGATCACAGCTCTTACCTGTGTTAGGGTCGCTCACCAGCCGCAGAATATCTCCCGAGCGTCCATCCAGGGTGAAGCATAGACTCCCCAGTGAACGTGGCAACTTTATTACAAAGTGTGGGTCTCCATCCACTGCAAGGAAGAAGCAAAGGATGTCCATTAAAAAAGGCATTTTAAAACATGGGGACCCTGTGAATTCTTCATAGCTAGGAATAGCTTGTTACCCCAAGAGGAGAAAGTGAAGAGGCCAGACTTGGGCGACACTCCCAGGGAGTCTGAAAAGAGATGAAGATGAAATCCACTGCGCATTAGAGAAATATTTCAGTTTATGTGTACACCAAGCCCCATTCCATTATCCACCAATCAATCTCAATTCAGTTTCAATTTCAATCTCTTCTAGTTCCAATATGCTCTATCTTTTGAAAAAATTATCCAGTGAGTTTTAAAATAAACCAGGGAGCGGGTTACACCCAAACACACACACACACACACACACACACACACACCACCACCAACAATAGAATAACAGAGTTGGAAGGGACCCTGGAGGTCTTGTAGCCCAGCCTGCCGCTCAAGCAGGAGACCCTAAACAAAATCTCTTTAAAACCTCCAGTGTTGAACAACCCACAACTTCCGGAGGCAAGTCATTCCACTGATGATGCACTAATATACATGGACTTACTTACTTACTTACTTATAGGATATGACTTTTCATCCCCCCCCCCTCCCGTAGCCTAACATGTTGGAAAGAAATTATGCAAAGGGATTCAAGACTGTGGCCCATCAACAGGAAAGCTTTGTGAGAACTGGACAGAATGGAATCAAAATTGGCTTGGAAGGAAGAAGCTGGCAAAATAATTATCAACTTCAAAACTGAGTTGGATCTGGCTGAGGACTGACGCGCACACCCACCCCAACAAAAAAATCTGGAAGTTTCCTCAAGTGCATTTGAAGTTGGGCAATGCATTTGAATGAGGCTGACTGCTCTGTTCTAAGACTCCTCCTCCTGGTCATGTGATTCAGATAAGAACATCTATTCGTGCTTCTCAGCACAGACACCCAGACGAGGACATGAAGAAAAGAAATACAAATGCACCACTCCAGATAATGGAGAGAGGAAATATTTTGGAAGCCATGCTCTCCATCAGTTCCCTTCTTTCATGCTTCTAAAAGCGCAAACCTTCCTCAGTTCACCTTCCGGGGAATCGTTTGGAAAGTGCACATTGTCCAGGAAAGTACCTGATTCACTGTCCGACTCTTCAAAAAAATCTGCAGAAAAAAAGAGAGTTAATTTTCAGAGTATTTTGATCCTCACAAGGTTCTCTCAGCAGCAGTCCTGCACTTCCCACCACCATCCCTGCTTCATGGCAGATAATTTGAGCCATTTAAACTGAAGAGAGTCATTGACACAAGGCAAATGTAAAGGTTCCCCTCGCACGTATGTGGTAGTTGTTCCCAACTCTAGGGGGCAGTGCTCATCTCCTTTTCAAAGCCGAAGATCCAGCGCTGTCCGAAGACGTCTGCGTGGTCATGTGGCCGGCATGGCGAAACCCAGAAGGGGCGCATGGAACGCACATAGATAATGCTTACTTATTCAAAGCGCTCTTCAAAGGACACCACCTCTCATTGGCCAGATCACAAATTCTATCTGCTCTGAGCGTTAAGCTTTCTCCTGTTTAAAGAATTAGCAAAGTATGCCTTGTTTTCACTTTATCATGAGCAACTTTAGAGTTTTGTAGCAATAGTTCCTGGCAAAGAAAACTTGCATCCCCTCCAACATAAAATACCACAGTACTGTCCATCTCAATTCCATCCCATATTTACTCTTTTAAATAACAAAACCGCAGCTTGATGAGGGATTGCCAATACACAGTCTCTCATCTTCAATGGCCATGAATCTTACTTTATAAAGGACACCCAGTTTCTCTTTTCCAAAGCCTAATTAAAAAGAGGAGACCCTCCTGACTTCTGGATTGGATTGAGGTTGTGAGTCAGCCATACATGGACTTAATCCCTTCCTGGATCCCCCCCCCATCCTCAGTATGCTTTGCAATGAAAGTGTTAAGATGCCCTGTCCTTCATGAAGTGCTTTATTGAGACAAAGTATGGGAGGAGCATTCAAGCCCATCCACCTTGAAAGAAGGAGGAATGAAGGTAGACAGGGCTTTGACGGAAAAGGAATATCTTTAAGCCTGGATAGCCAGAATTTGGCACTCCAGGTGTTAATGTCACCAGATGGTAGCACTGGTCAGGCTCAGAAACAGGCTTCTGGGAGTTGTGTCTGATCAGAAGTTGGGTGTAGAGAATCCAGGCACTTTGTAAATTCAGTTTCTAACTTCTACTCTCTTAGAGGACCACACTTAATGCCTGATGTAAAAATATAGGTATGAATTTGTATTTCACACAGCAAGAATTTTAACATTTTCACGCCTACGTATAGATTAGTGTTCTGGCTCCCCTCCGTACGGTGAGTCACACCGACACAAGGTTAACATTAGCCATGCTTTATTCACAGTAATTACTCACAGACAAGACTTTGGCAGCAACCCAGACTCCCACAGATAAGAGATCCACACAAGAGCTTCTCCACACAAGAGCTTCTCCAGCTTAGTAAAATGGTTGTGTCCTGCAAAAGGTCTCCTCCCAAAGTCTCTTCTTATATACTCTTCTTGGGAGGAGCCAAATCACAACCACCTGGGCCTGATTATCTCCTATGTCTCCGTAATTGCTGCCTCTGCTTCTCTGCCCTTCTCTGCCTGGCGTCCAGGACCAACTCCCTTTGCTCCTCCCCACTGCTCCAGGGCCTGACATCAGGGACAAACTCCCTTTGGCTCCATGCCTCAGGCGCCTCCTGGTGGCCAACCAGCCTCTCTGGTCCCTGCTTGGAGTCTGAACCCTGCCCAGGGTCTTCCACATCTTCCAGAGCCGACTGATAGGGTCCCTCGCTATTGGAGTCTGTCGGCAGCTCCAACGGCTCCTGCTGGGCCACAACAGATTAGTATATGTGTATTTTATGCAAATCCATGTTCTCATTTGTCCTTTGTTTTTCAGCCATTTGTTTGTTTTTTGTTCTTTTGTGCAAAGTGTGTTTGATTCAAGGAGTCACTGAACAATCAGGCATTCCGCTCCTTAAGAACGTTGAATGATCAGTGGTGGTTCTCTTTGTTAAAGAAAACTCATTTTCTGGATGTGGGTCCTTGTGTACCTAAATTGGCTTCACACATACACATGTGGTTGGGGCCAGTAGGCTCAGGGGAATCCCAGAGGCTGTAAAAAATAAAGTCTTCCGGAGAGGGGAAGAAAACATTCTAAGGAGGGACGCAATACACTATCACAGCTAAGAATGTGGCCGGAACTACTACCATAATACACTTCTCTAATCATTTTATGACTACTCAGGGCCATGAAGGAAATGAAAAACAACAGGAGAAAGGAATAGAACAAGTCAGAAATCTGAACTGGAACACATTCCGTACACTGCAGCATATGTGTGGTTTAATGTGGGCTTAATAAAGACATGTGCTCTCCAAGATGAACATCTGGGAAGATCTTTAAAGATAGGAAATAGCATGAGCTCACTGGGCCAGGTCCCCAAAGACAGTTTCTGGGATGGGAGAATTACCTGGATAGTCTCCATAATCCAAGTTTTCTGAGAAGGAGAGAAATAAGAATTGAACACATAGAGAACACAACATCCAGTCATCAAAGAGGATCTAGAGCCGTGATGGCGATCCTATGGCACACATGGCACAGGTGGCATGCAGAGCCCTCCCTGCGGGCATGCGAGCCGTTGTCCCAGCTCAGCTCCACCGTGCATGCATACGCGCGCCCCCCCACTGATCAGCTGGTTTTCGGGTCTCTGCCATGCATGCTTGGGGGGGTGGGGTGCATGTGGGAGACGCACGTGCATGTAGGCGACAGAGTGCATGCGGGGAATCATGTGTGCTTGCATGGGGGTATGCACACATGCACGAGGAGCGTACATGTGTGTGGGGAGCATGGGGCGGTCACGTGTGCATGGATGGGGGAATAGTGCATGGGGAGGTCGAGTGCACCTGTGTGGGGGTAGGACACACCAGTGGCACATGCATTGCATTATGGGAGAGGTGCGCATATGTGCACACATTCAGCCCTTGGCAACGGAAAGGTTAGGCATCACTGATCTAGTGCAATTCCAGAGTGTTGCATGCATGGCCGGGCGCATACAATACACAGATTAATGGGAAGAGAGGGGAGTGGGAAGTTGATCTTGGGAATAAGGAGGCAGGGCTGGAGTACCACAACAGGGGTAAAAGGGGGCATGAATTAGGCTCCCCCCCCCATGGCTAGCAGAACTAGAGATTCATCAAATTTATGGATTAATGGACTTCCTGGGCGGGACCTTGCTGATGGTAGCAGCTTAACAGAGCTGCTCTCGAGTTCCTGGTCACGTTATCTGTCTAGACATCTGACAGATACCTTATCCTTCAGGCAAGAAGGGAAGGAGAGAGATCCAGCTGGCAAAGTGCCTTTTTTGATCTTTGCAGCTTTTATGTCTGCGAAAAGAGAGGGGGGGGGCAGCCGAGGCTGAATCATCTCCGTGCCGGAATCTACAGCTGTTTTTTTTTTCAGCTCAAAGTAAGATCCTCCCACTTAGAACAATATTTGAACTATCTGATTTTAATACAAGCAGAGCCCGTATCTGAGAACCTCATTTGCTTATTTAAATCCTAGCTTCATTTTTTTACAAGATCTTCCTTCATTAATTTGGTTATCTAAATTTATGGATTAATAACAAAGACGAGTTCTTAATCTGCTAGGCACAATTCACCCTTATTGCAGTTCTCTCATCGCTTGTGAGATCAGCAGCAGCAACAACAGAGATGGATCTTAAAACCCATGCAGTTAAACCACTCTCTTCAGATGTAACCGAAAAGAGAGGAAGGCACGTAAGTGGCCTAGGAGGAAGAAGCCCCAAATCCCAGCAGTGTCCCGAGTTCCTTGCACTTACCTCCAAGTCTGTTGGGTATCAAAAAGCTGTATACAGCTGGAGGATTCAAGGACTCCACATATTCTGTGTTCTGGATGGTGGTTGAGTGTAATTCAGCCTCCCCAGGCAGCAGGAGGAGGCTGACGTCAGAGGCAGGTGTGGAGGGGTCAGGAACCAGAGTGGCTCCCTTTGATTCTGCTGCCTGAGCGGTGGGGGATGTGGCCCAAGAGACTGTGCTCTTCTCCTGGGGCTTATCAAGGTGCAACTTTGAGGTTACCCCATCCTTGGTGTCTGCCTTGCTCCTGGGAAGTTTCCCTGTCTCCATCCTGGAAGTACTTGCTTGCCACTTGGTGTACGGGTGGTACTCGGTGACTGGCCATGGGGTCATCTTGGGCTGTTCCCAACGACTGGAGTTGCTCTCTAGAATCTTCGGGCTAGCAGAAGGATACAAAGCAGTCGGTGCCTTGACCACAGTGTGGGGGACCCTTGCCACAACCTTTGTCATGGCTGTTCCTCTGGTCACCAGTGCAGGATGTGGCTGAATAGTGGGTTTGAGCCTCGCTGCTCTGGTAGGACTGATCTTGGGGAGGGTTACAGGCGGCCTGGTTGACTTAGGAGTGGTGGTAGCTCTTGGGGGTTTAGTAGATCTATTGCTCGCTAAGGGACTCGAAGAGAGGGTTGTTCTCCCCAGAATCGTTGTGACTTTGGCTGATTTGGGGTGTCCGGTGGCGGTAGGTACTATGGTGGGATAGACAGGTGGAGTGGTGATGATGGGCACAGTGGTATCTGGTGAAGATGTAGCTCTGGCTGCTTTAAAGAGCCTAGGTCCTGTCACTGGAACATTTCCTGTCCCCATCGTTTCCTTGAAAGCTTTTGTTATAGCAGGGGCTTCAGTAACTCCATGAACAGATTTAGCTGCCTTAGAAAGTCTGGGCAAAACAGATACAGCCAATGGTTGTGGAGAGGCTTTTAGAGCTCTAGTCAACCCTGGAGGAATTGTGGTTTTCACAGGCTGGTTTCTATCTCTGGCTTCTTCTGGCCTCACCACTACCAAGGAGGTGACGGGGGTGACAAAGTTGTATTTGATTGACAAATTGGTAGCTTTTTCTGTCAGGAGATGCCGGGCAGTGGTGTCATTGGCTCGGAACCGGGCTTGTAGCAGATCTTGAATGGTGAAGTAGGCCCAGAGCCTTTGTACAAAGTGACCGATTTTGTTGATCTCACCAAGGCAGCCAAACGGAGCGGATTCAGTGGTATTGGTTGAAATGTCATTTTCCAGGCTCAACAGGCCTTCCTGGCCTTGCCCTGTGGTGCGCACCTGCAGTTTTGATGCTCCTGGCTTCACTCGGCCAACCACAACCAGCTCAGAACCCTGGAAATAGTTGGGGAAGAGGTTCTGCGTGAGGCCTTCTGCAACCCCATCGAGATAGGACAGCTCCACGTCGTACAGCAGAGGGCTGGCTATTTCATCATAGAAACCCTTGAGCTGCAAAGTAGCATCAGTATCCTCGTAGATACGCCGGGCCACCCCACGGTTCTCTAGCGAGAGCCGTCTCAGCAGCCCATAGTCAGCATCGTCCCCGAAGGCCAGACCAAAGAGTGAGATGGTGCCCTTCAGAGCCTGCTGAGCATTGGCCAGAATGCGACTGCCTGCTGTTACTCCTGAAGTGGGTTCACCGTCGGTCAGGAAGATGATCAGTGGGATTCTCGGCTTCTTCTCCACCTTTCCATCCACTGAAGAACTCTGATTGAAGACGGAGGCAGCTGCAAGCAATGCTGCGTTGATGTCAGTCCCTAAGTGGAGGAAATGAGAGATCAGAAACAAAGACAACTCCGAATAAAAGTTTTGACCACATCAGGATAGGGACTTCCTCAGTTTCCTCAGATACTTTTCAACTGAAAAGGTCGCTTATTGAACAGGCTGAAAGGCCTAGCCAGTGGTGGGATTCAAATAATTTAACAACCGGTTCTCTGCCCTAATAACCATCTGGGTAGGTGGGGCTTGGTGGTCATGTGACTGGGTGGGAGTGGCCAACTCAAGGTTACTCAGGTCGATGGGTGCTTCGCCTTAGCTGTTACAATGTAATAAGGGTTAACCG